GGGGGGGGGGGGGGGGATATATTCACTCATCTCAGTTTCATTTTCCTTTCTCTTCTCTCTTTAATTCAAAACTCTCCCCTCATCCTCTCCACCTCTGGCCTGCGCTACACATGTTCAACTGGCTTCAAGGCTCCCTGTAATATTTATATTCCCGGCATGGCTGGGGCTCCCACAATGCTCTGCTGTCCCAGAAGGGCATCGGCAGCATTACAGATAAACGCCGCCGCCGTGCCCTCATCGGATGAGATTCCATGCTGCCACATCGGTGTGACATGTGAAGGCCTCATAATCACGGCTCGGCATTGAGCTGAGCGCCTCTGTGCTCTGTCTGCTGTTGAAACTGCCTCCTCGCTATTGTCTGCACGCTGCTGCTGCCACGTTGCTCGCCCCCCCCTCCAGCCACTGCCTATTGAATTATTCCATATGGAAGGCCTGCGAAGTCTGTTTTGCTGAATGCGACGTGGGAACAGAAGAGAAAGTCTTTACTTATTCATTAATTCTCCTGCTGCTCGTTCTGCACTCAAGAAAGTCTAGCATCGCTGCCCGAGGAGGAGCAGGAGGAAACAGGAAGTGGATGCTAAGTGCTGCGGTACCCATGGAAACGCTTTAGAGAGGACCTCAGGAGTTTGCGACCCTGTGGGATCTGTGTCCTGCTGCCCTATTAACCCCCGCTTTGTTGTTGGGACTGTTCCTCATTTTGCAGCCCTTCAAATACTCCCACACTCAACTGCACATCCTGTAATCACTTTTACCACTTCACTTCACCCATTATGACCCTCCCCCCCTCTCTCTGCTTACTCTTTGGTACAGTCTGATGAGTCCTTTTTGACTCAGCAACCCAAACTGGCCCAGTGACCCTCAGACGTCCCAGAGTGGATGGGAGGGTGGCAGGTGGGGATGGGGGTGAGGGTTGTTAGGGAGGGGGAAACTGGAAATGGTTGTACCCAGCTGGGAGCCTGTCACCACTCAGCTGCATTAACACAGACAAACAGGAATACTTTGCCTCAGCTCACACTTTCAACTCGAGATTTTACATGTTAGAGTAAAAACCTGCTGCTCGCTGTTCCCCTGTACGGAGGGAACTACCTACAAATATTTTCATTCAGGAGTGAGTTTTTCAATAAATAGATTAATTTTTCTGACTAAAAAATAGCAAAGAATGTCGTCACAAGGTGAAATACCAGACAGTGATTCAAAGAAGGCAAATGCTCCAGGGCTACACACACTCAGTGGGCCCGAAGGCTCCACGTTCCACAGTTACTTTGAGGTTATTTCAAACTTGTTTGGTAATTTGTACCAAAAATACAGTACAACCTGTTCTTAGGTTGGCTTCTGCACATTTATGTGGTGATATGATGCTGCTATTATGCAAATAAAATGAGCTTAATCAAAAAGTGACACACAACAAACCAGGATCCAAGTGGTATTCTGCCAGATTTAATTGCAAAATATAAACAAGCTGCCTTGTGTGTTGTCTGATTCGTGCTCTGTACCTGGCAGGCACATAAAGACAACAGGGTGAATACGTAATGCACAGGAAGTGGGAGGAAACTGTCATTAGGAGCTAAAGAAATCACTCCATTGATTTAGTATTGCACTTCCATAAAGTTGGCAGACTCATGAGAGACAGATTTGAAAAAGAATGGTTAAAATCGATGCAGCAAAAGAAAGATGATTTTCAGTCCCTAATATAGGTCAGGCTCTAAAGATACTGGATCCTACACTTGATGATGCAACCAATGGCATATTTCCTGCTATGTAAAGTTAAACTCCATGTCCCAGTTTGTAACACAAGCTGTATTGTTAATAGGTCTTATGAAAAATATCAACTCCAGCTATTAAGGATGTTATGATACTCCTGGTTCGATATAGTTCACAATATGATTTATTTTTTATAACAAATTATGATCAATATTCTCCTTTATTTTCTTTATCAAATTAGAGTTCTGTTTTTACTTTAAACTGCTACTAATTGACGTAGGATGCTGAACAAACAAAGTCAAAAGTAGATTGCATCCTATGCTGTTTAAAGAGACTAAAGAAACTTCACATATTTGTAACCCTCAGCCCCGAGTGAATTTGTGAATTTGTTATCTACGACTATTCGATATGTAAAGTGCGTCGACTAAGACTTTTCTCCTCCTAACAGTTAAGCCGACTGTCAGGGGGCAGCCCTAAACCTGATCCTTTTTAAAATGTTGTAGTCACCAAGCTGAAGCAGAGATAGCTGTTTACACAGACTGAGTAGCACTTACCATGGTTAATAAACTTTATAGGTAAAATCAGTGGAATTCCTCTCTGGCGATTCTGTAATTTAAGTCAAATACTAATTTCAATCGTTTGAATTAGCATATCTTGATTTTAGGACGAGCCAGTGTTGAAAGGATGCGTACAAAGAGATCCTCCAAATGATTCATAGGAGGTCTTAATTTATGTTTTACCACTGCCATTAACTTCCATTAAAGGCAACATTAAACCGTCAGATTTCTGAATGGAGTATGGCAGGATGTTCCCAGCACCGTGCAGGCATTAATAGACAGAGTGCATCAGCGCTCGAGCTTATGATTAATGATCGTTAATCACCATTTAAGGACCAGTAAAAACAGAAGCGAGCATAAATAGCTTTTTTTATAATTCCCGAGGTTAAATCCAGTTCTGCAAAATGTGCAGATTTGAGACAGAATTTAGAGAACAGAAGCGTCTATGTCTGGGCTTGCGTTCCCACCCGGCGGCCATGTTAGAGCAGGCATCTCTGACTCTGTTGACACAGCCAGTTTATACGGCCCCCGAGGAGGTGATAGGAGTAGAAAAGGAGAAAGATAGAAAAGAGAGAGCAGTAGAAGAAGGAGGGGGGAGGTGACTCACTGATATCATAGCACTCATATGTCACTGAGTCAACAGAGCACAGTCACACGATGAAGCTCACACCAAATGAAGACGCCAAGTCTCACCCTGATAGAAATGTATGGACATGTATGGGGAGAAGCTGCTGTTAATAGATCACACTCTTGCTTCCTTTTTTCCCCCTGTCATTCCTTTCCTCCCTTTCCAACCATCATAATATTTACTGTACACTCCTGGCTACCTTGGAAAGACAGTTATGCAACGTCTCAGTGATGTACTCATGAACTGTTGAACTGAACCAGTAAAACTGTGCGACATACTTCTGCTGGAAACTTTTATCGCCTTAACAGCAGCGTGAGTGTAAACACTTCTGGACCCGGCGCTGAGCACTGGAGCTACGTAGGAGTAAACACACTGTCTGTGTCTCGCTGTATGCGCTCTGAGAGGCTAGTGGCCATACTGTCTTTGGTAATGTGTCAGGGGTGCACTGAGGAAACAGTGTGAGAGAGGCAGAGATGTGCCTCGGAGAAGCTTGGAGCCTGTTTACAGTAAACTGCTGAGTGGCTTACACTGTGTTCCTTTATGTCTGTGGCTCACCGGGGGATCGGAGGATTCACTTGTGCAAGCAAAGGTCACGAGCACACAGAGACACACACACACAAACACACACAGTGTACTTGATCCCATGTGACAAATATAGTGTATCTGTGGGGGCAGAGGGAAGGACAGAATGTATGAGAATGCAAAAGCAGTATGTGCTGTTACATGTTCTTCCAAAGAGGGTAAAATGAGTTTGGCTGTTATAGATTTTACTATTCTGTTTATACTGATGTAGTTAACACTTCAACGTAGCATCGCAGCATCGCAGCGTTACCTGAATAAAATGACAGATTTCTCTGGGTTTAAACATTGTTGATTTGAGATACACAACTCAACTACATATATAACAAAGTTCTAGAGTTTATAGACATTTTAATGCAGAAATGTTACATATTACAACTTTAAATATTTCTGGTTGTATTGCAAATCAATGAGCAACGCTGCTTCATAGCAATATTGCATTCATTGTTGCATCAATGGGATATATCTCAATATGTTTCAGGTATTGACTTTGCTTAGTAAGACCAAAACAGACATTCCTATCTATAAAAACCTAATCAATTGAGTGTTAAAATTGAATTCTTGGAACAAAAGTAGAAAATCAGCTTTCCAGCATCTCTGTGAGGCAGTACTTAAGCACTTAAACTAAATGCTAATGTCAGCATGCGAACATGCTCCCAATAACAATGCAAACATTCTGATAACAAGAAGCCTATAATGTTTACCATGTTCACCGTCTTATTGGCATGCTAATATTTGCTAAGCAGCAAAAGCGTCTTTAACTTTTCAGGCATTTGGTCATAAACCAAAGTACTGGACACATTTATTTATTGACCTAAAAGAAAAGTTAAGGGATCACCAAAGCTGGTGATAACATGAATGTCTGTACCAAAATCCCTCCAATAGTTACCGAGACTTAAGACAGAAAATGTCACCCTCATGGTGAGGCTAAAAAGTCAAAATATCGACACAGTCATTAGGAAACATACTCTGTTTTAGCTTCTCTGCTATATATCAGGATATATTAATGATAAAAAACATACCATTGGTAGAACATTTTATTGAGGGGTGGGTGATAGATAAAACCCTCTATCAAGGTATATGTACATGTATTTTATTCCAGTGCTAACATACAGTGTATATCACAATGTAATACCTTTTTATAGTTTAAGGATAGAATAGCTGGATAAGAATGTCTGTTTGGACCTAATCCTCTGAATTAAAGGTTTAATAAGTTATGGTACTTCATCACATTGATGCAAAAACCTGGTAAAAGTCCAGTATTTCCATAAAGCCACACCACGGTATAAACAGAACGCCCAAATCTGTGTGTGTCATTATATTGTCCATCCCATGTACATCTAGTGTATCGGATGCTTTGTCTCATAGTGTCTGTGAATCATCCTTACCGTTTGTCTCGGCTTGATGGACCACCAGATGGTTTCCATTCATAAGTGATCTATCACATCAGGAAATTGAGATAGTGTCAGGTAAGCTGTTAAGTTGCTTAAATGATACTCAATCATCTCCTGTGATAATTTCCAACTGTCTGGCGCTTCAAGAAGTTCGAAGCAGCCGCAAAGAATGATCTAAAGATTCCTGCATTATCCAGGTCTGTGAAAACCTGTGAAATACCGCACTCATTTGGAAATACGAGGATGAACAACTCACTACATTTTTGAATTATACCCACTTGACCCACTCCAGTGAAGCGTAGTTGAGTCATTTACAACACGAGCGCAGGCGTGAAGATTTGTATGCGGTTTCATCATCTACTTCAATCTGATATAAAGTCAGTATATCTTAAATTCATTACACAGGCAACAGAAGATGACACACTTGCCTGGCTGATCTACTGCTGTTTGGAGAATCCTCTGACAGTCATTTGCATAACCATTTCCCTTAATGCATTTGTGTGAGAATGACTCTGTCTGTGGAGTCGTAGCAGTGTGATTGTATCGGACTGTGCCGTGTGTGTTTGGCAGAGACTCGAAGCCTTCAGAATGAAAAACTGTCAGGCTCGGTTGTCCCATTGCAACTATCTCTGGCACAGCGGGACGTTGCATCCAATATGCGTTGATTTCAGGGATGAGGACAATAAATTCCCCAGACAAGAGAGTGAGATTGATAATCTTGGTTCGGATTGGTCTGGTTCAGTCATGTCTAATTACTGGTGATATATTGATCGCTTGTGTCTTCAAGCTAGCAGCAGAAAAAAAAACATCCTTATGTGGGCCATCAGAAGAAGAAGTGAGATGGGTCATGAATATTCATTTGTGTGTGAGTTAGACACTCTGTCAAAAGGGTTTATCTTGGGCGAGGACAAGAGAGCACTTGATCTGGCGCACAAAGGACAGTCTTGCTTCTCTGAATTAGCCATTTACACCACACAAATATCTGAGATGGCAGTGTGTCTGGTTTTCAGCGTCTTGTGGTGATGCCTTGTGCTCAGCTCGCATTAAGGGACTGCAAATGTAAAATAATCCTTAATTGGGTCTGTCAGAAAAGAAGCAACTCTTATATCTTCATCTTCTCGTTCTTTCCTCTTAATAACTCATTTCCAAGCGCAGTTTCTTTATGTGTATCATCAAAATCAATCGTATGAAACAGCCAAGCACAGTGTAAAGTTATCTCTTCTGGCTCCACTGAGGAGTTTTTTACACACCTTAATAATTCATCAGTATCATTTCTTAGATGTTAAGAAAAGGGAAATGAATCACGTCAACTCATTGGTTCCTTCATCCCCCGCCATTCCTGACCTCTCATCTCCGAATGTTAACAAACACTGTCCTATCTTCTTCCAGGAGGACTATGACCGCCTCAGGCCGTTGTCCTACCCAATGACCGATGTCTTCCTCATCTGCTTCTCGGTGGTTAACCCTGCCAGTTTCCAGAATGTGCGTGAAGAATGGGTGCCGGAGTTGCAGGAGTACGCGCCCAGTGTCCCCTACCTGCTCATTGGCACCCAGGTTAGTGCTCTAATGCTCTGCTCACACCACAGGCCTTCACGCTCAGCTCCTAATGGCTGCTTCTATGTATATATTTATATTCATGTGCTTGGATATTCTAGTAAGAACATACAGTAAGAAAATGTGTCACGAGATATGGCATTAAGTGCTTGACAAAACTGACACTTAGGAAGAAAGTTGCATACTTCGTAAGTTCCCACATCAACCTTGTAATACGACGTACATCGGAGAGCGCAAACATTTCTGGAGTGTATATTTGTGCAAAAATTCAGGCTAGAGAACTACAATATAAGCACCGTGTACCACCACTGATTTTAGGTGGCAATAGAAATCTAAAACAGACCCAGTGGACAGGAAACAGCGATGAAATGGCCCAACAGCTGTCCCACAACCTGGGATTTGGTTTGGTTTTATTCTGCCAGAAAAACATTTACAAACTTGTTCACATCTTTTCTAATTAAATCTAACATGGGACCTGAGTGAAATCTGTACAGGTGCACTTCTTCCTTCAGCAGACTAGAATATTTGTAGGCACAAATGCCTACCAAGTACCGTTAAGGTTTCGAAACTTTGGCATCCACTTGGTACCAAATTACCAAGGTTCTCATGACATTCCTGGTCTGTTGTGGATTGCAGTGGGTTTTTCATACATTTTCATTGCTAACAGCTGCCTGCTGCACCTGGAAACAAGCTTGATGAGAGCAGAGAGAGTGAACCAAAACAGTCATGTACTGCTCTGAAATATGCTAAAATGTTTCACAGAGCTGATGGGAAGTGCAGAATCGGGTGATAATTTTCTGACTATCTAACTACCTTTTCAAATTACACAAAGCCATGTTTTCCATTGTTAATTTAAAAATGTAAATTAGTGCAGCCTTAGGTAGAAGTGATAAAAAAATGACTTAGATACCTCTTATTGCAGTCTGAGAACTTTGAGTCTTTGAGCACAGAAGATTTGAAACATCGACTACAAACCTGGCTGCTCTGACTCATATGGGGGTTAAAGGGTCTGTGGTGGTGCTGCAGCCCTCCCTGCCTTGAAGTTAATCATTAAATCAGAAGATTTTAAACCAGCAATTACCTTGTGCAAAGATGCTAAAGCTGGGCTAATGTCTTGTGATCTTAAATAAAGGCATCACTTAACTAACGTAGATGTTAAGAGATGACACTAATCCTAAGTATTAGCGTATTTCTTAAGCCTTAAAACCCACTGCCATATGTCCTCTTAAAAAACGAGCGCTGACTTGTGGGTGATTTTTGGTCCGTGTTCCCTGGCAACCAAATGCCAGCGCAGCCAAGGCCCAGCGGTGATGAGGAGGATGGAGTGGGTGTCTGATTTATCTTGTGTCAGCTGATGTTTACTGCCCTTTTATCAGTTCCTGTCATAACTCACTTGCTGCTCCTCGGCTGGATGCTGATACGTGCACAAAAGCTTCATAACAGTGAGCCACACTGCCGCAAAATTACACCAATTAAGAAAAGGGTTAATGAAGGTTGCTCCCAGTGAGATTGTGCAGGTGGATGCATTTATCATAATTGGTTATTACAGAGAATGGGGATGGGGTGGGGGAGGTGAGTTTTGTGTGTGCTGAGCATTGCAATGAATAAAAAAAGAGTGAGGAACCTTGTGGTTGGCTATGAAATGGCTTTGCACAAGAGCAGGAAGTGTGGGCCAACATGGCTGTGTTTCAAAATGAGAAAACGGTTTTAACAGTTCAGCTCTTAGGGCTATGTTTAGGAGCCTGGAGACAAGTGCAGCAATGCTTAAATAGATGTTGACAAATGAGAGGAGTCAATAAGGAAGTTTTTAATTAATATCCTAAATGTTATAACGGTAATAGTGATGTTGATTTAGCTGAGAGGAAGTGTCCCTTTTCTCTTTCAGATTGACCTTCGCGACGACCCCAAGACCATTGCCAAACTGAATGACATGAAGGAGAAGCCCATCGCCACTGAGCAGGGACAAAAACTAGCGAAGGAGGTTTGTATGCTGCAAAAGTAAACTAATATGTAGCCGGAGAGTAGAATCTCACATTTTCACTTTCAGCGTTGACGTTAGCTGTCAGGTCCAGTTAGATTCCTGTGTGTTGATTCGACCCAGGAATGTCTCTGAAGGAATTTAATTTCTTCAGAGAAACGCCTGGAATCAGACCTCTGTACATTCTTTGCCTCCAAATGAATCCAATAATACATTCTGGGTCAACAAGGATGTCCAGAGGAGCTCAAGGCCGTGTGACGTAGATACCAAATGTGGTCTGTGATTAATCGCTCCTGTCAGGCGGAAACCGAGAATAAAAGTCATCCAGTTCAAAATTTACAATCTTGACTCATTTAAAAGTTGATATCCGTGCAGTTTTGGCAAACGAAAGATAGGATCTTAGGTGGGATTCATGTCTTGTGGGAGTCATGAAGTCTATGTGAGGCCACAGGGTTCCGTGTATGATAAATCACTCAAGTTGCAGCGATTTCCTTCAATGTGAGCATTATTTACATTATTACCTACAAGTCTGTTGTTGTAGATGACCTGTCAACATTCGAAATCCTTAAAAAACTGCTTCAGTTGGATAGAATAGTTTTTTTTTTTAAATAAATTTGCTAGATTTTAATCATGAAATGTGCCTCCTCTGTTTGTATTACATTACACTGGAGTCACAGATCTGAGCATCCATACCCGACAATCTTTGAAAAAACCCAGGAGGTTGTTTAACAAGTCCTACTGCTGTACTGATGGTATTTACAGAACTCAATAAACACATCTGCATGATAGAAACGAGTTTTAAAGGAATAGTTTGACATTTTAGTAAATCAGTTTTCCCACTTTCCTGCTCAGGTTAGATGAAAAGATTGTTACAACTGTCAAATCTGTATGCTAAATATGAGCTACTATATAGCCAGCAGCCAGTAAGCTTAGCTTAGCAAAAGGCTGGAAACAGCTGGTCTGACTCCAAAGGTAACACAATCTGCCTACCAGCTCCTCTAAAGCTCACTAATGAACATCTGTTTAATCCGTACCAAAACTGAAGTGTAAGAATGACTGCTGGACAATTTCTCACCCAGAAAGAGGCCAAGAAAACGTTCCCCTGTTTCCAGTCTTATGCTAAGCTAAGCTATCCGGCTGGTGGTGGTAGCACATAGTGACAAGAAAGATTTTTCATAGATAGCTGGGTATTTAAAGTGGTTAGCTCTGTGACTTGAGAGAGGACAGATATCTATGTTGGTCAGTCTAATCAGTTAAAACTACAACCAACAGCAGAGCGTTCCTGCTCGGAAAGCCAACTCCTACTCAGACCAGACATTAAAGGTATATTTAGATGCCAGTTAGTCAAAGACCATATCAGTCAGTCAGAGGTGTCTGTAAATGTCTTTACAGAGACATGACGATTTACAATTTAGACACAAGATTAACATGTAAAATTGCCATCACACTTATATAATGGTGCGTGTCTGAAAGGTATTTTTGTGTTGAGGTATTTCTATTTCTTGAAGTACAACATGTTATACAGCAGATTGTTTTTCTGCGGTTGAGTCGGCTCCATAAAAACAATGATCCTCCCCATATTAGCTCTGCTCACTACTCACCATTAGCAGCTAAAGTTACCCCATAATATTAACCAAAGCCAAAGCAAATGATATATTATTACACTGCTGGTCACATACAATCATAGCATTAAGACTCAGTCAGTCTGCTGGAAGTGGTTTCTCTGGACAGTTTCTCTGTGCTCATGGCACATGATATGAAAATATGATTTTAATGAGCATGATTTGTGCCCTCAGACATAGTTTGGACGTCAATCCTGGTCCAGGATGCAACTTATAACAAGTGTGATGTAAAAACTTGAAGCCTTTTTAAGTCATTTAATGTGGAAATTATAACTTTTTTAAAGAAAAAAATGTATCAGAAGACTGTTTGACTTGAGGGGATCTTTAAAAAATGTCACCCAGTAATGTCATTTGAACAAACTATACGTAATGTAAAGTCATTTTGACTGTTATATATGCCATCCTAAAGAAATCAAAGAAGAAAACACTATTCAGTCACATTTTACAGGGGGTTTTATGTCCTGGTCCTTGGACAAGAAATAGCTCAGCAGGCTAAACAACACAATTAACACTAAAAACAACATAAAACATGACAAAAGTTAAAGCATCCGAGTCAAATGAAGCCCTGTAGCCGCCAGGCTGGACAGCTGAAGTTGAGAAGACGTGGGAGTTCTGACTTCCTGAATTACAGCTCTATTAAATCATTTTATTATTAAAACAGAAGCATATGTCCCTCCCACCTCCGAAAACAATGGATTGAGAGTAGAGATATCACGATAACCGATACTACGGTGCCAATTCGATGACAACGTTCTGAAAGTCATATTAAGAGAGTATATCTACAGTCTCACTATAATAACTACTGCTAGACCATCATATTGTACTGCAATATCTTAACTGATGGTCCGTGTGTTTTCCTTTCTCCCGTCAGATTGGTGCATGTTGCTATGTGGAGTGTTCAGCTTTGACCCAGAAGGGCCTGAAGACGGTGTTCGACGAGGCCATCATTGCAATCCTGGCTCCCAAGAAGAAGAAGGGAGCTCTGAAGAGAAGACTGGGACCCCGCTGCATCAACTGCTGTCTGATCACGTGATACATAAACCCACGGATCATTCAGCAGCAAACCATAAACCAAACCTGGACTGAAGGCAAAAGAAAAATGCACAAAAGAGAGGACTGAAAAGGACAAAATAAGAGCTACTTTTAAGCTGCAGGGCTCTTAAAAGGCCATAACTCTCTCCTGCTGTCCAACTCGAGTTGAGGATGCAGTTTACTACCAAAGGAGCACAAAACCCAAGTCAGTCTCTTCGTCAAAAAGACTTTTTGCCTCAAAAGTACCTTCTTTTATAACCATTTTTAATCATTTTTCCTGTACAAAATTGTTGTACGCTGTCATACAAAAAAAAATGACGTTGCAGTTTAAAGAGAAATGCTACATTTTAAGGAGTTCATATTATTTCTATGGTTTTGAAAGCTACATTATTGATTTGTGAAGTTCTCGATAGAAGAGCAGATCAGGAGAGATGTTAAAGAATGAGAGGCTGACTTAAGTGACACTGTGACAGTGGCCAGAATATACAGGTTTTGTTTTTTATTTCAAGACTCTGTCGGCCCACAAAGTCTGTCTTCAGTTGTTTGACCTGCAAATTCAACCACACAAGGTGCTGTGCGTTGTGTGGGGAGAACACAAATGAGTGAAATGCTGTTCAGTCGACACATTTTGGACCTGGAACTGTATTATTTTAAAGTTTGAAGGTCATGTTTTTTGCCTTATGAAAACCCCATTATTTTATAGTGTGGCATGCCAAAACATACTGTAAGTTAGGACCGGGGCTGAGGTCTTCATCAGGAACTGAAGAGGTCTATTATCCATTTTTAAAATATATATTATCCAGAGTTTATGATTCTATATCTCTAAAATAGAGATGATCTAGTCTGTGCAAACATTTTATCAACCGATAGCTTTCTTTTTCTGTTTTAATTTTGTTATCCTGCAATAACGTGTTTTATCCTTTTATCACCTTAAGAAGGTTTATGAGAGAGAAGAAGAGGGATCTCATTTTAGAAATGAAACTCTGATTCATATCCAACGTCCAAAGAATCGAATGCACACTTTCATCAGAATCAGCTGGCTAAGGTGACCCAATACTGTACATCTAATGCACAACATGAAGCACAGTCAGCGCCACTTCATTTCCCGACACAACAAAGCACATTCCTCCGCTTTTAAACGCTGCCTCTCTCCCAGAAAAGGCTGATTGAAGCACACTGTTCCATCAGGCACACGTATGAGCAAAGCACATAATTTTACCTGCACAATCACAGTCCGTTCATATCAAATATCAGCTTTCATGATTGATTGAAATGGTACAAGAAAGGGTTGCAGCCGTTGGCACCATCGACATATAAAAGACTTCCTCCCTCTGTACAAAAAATTAAGCCAAAATATCCTGGTGACGTTATTTGGAGCCAGGGTCTGCGCAGTAGTGATCGGGGTTGGGCTCAGCTGTAAATCATGATGTGAAACCCCCTTTTTGTAGCTTAAAAAAACTAATTTTAACCAAACTTGTCAGAAAAATAGTGTGATAAGAACTACCTAAAATGACATAAACCATCTTTGGGAAGAATGTATTTAAGTATATTTTGATGGAGACAGCAGGTTTTATGACCTATCCTGCAGTCAGCCACCAGGAGGCGATCCAGATGTTTTGGCTTCACTTTTGGGGAGCTGTCATGTCTTCCATCTTTATATTTGTGGATGGTTGGCACCAGCTGTTCGTAAATTCAAACTTGACCTAGTTTATTGTTTGTAAAGTGGAAATTTACACATCGCTAAATTAAAATGGGTTGAACCAGAGAAACTACACAAAGATAAAGTTAGCTTACAAAGATGTGTCAAGTATTTTTCAAGTAAAAGAAGTATCTATCTGACCTGACACTTCAATATGTTTAATAATTATGTAAACTGGGAAGATTTAAACAGAAATAAAACAATGAACCTCAGATTACGAATGAGGTTAACAGAATATGTTAAGCCAATAGTCTTAAAGACTCAATGACTGGTTACATTGGTTATGTAACCCATAAATTGGATATTTGCCAGTCATTCTAAAACGTATGAATACTACTGACTCTGAGAAACATGTTTCTCTCCCTGTTTGCATATATGAATAAATCAAAGTCAAACCTGCCATTAGAAATGTATCAGCACTTTTTATTAATTTTATTGAAGTTTAATATATCACTTGACCCCCTAAAATGTATTTTTGGCAGTTTCAGCCCTTGTAAATGCCATTAGAGTCAGAGGAACCAGATGTTTTCACAGATTATCTATCTCATGTTCTACTGTCAGGATATTGTGAAAGTTTCAGTAAATATGATGAAAAATATTTTCATAAAAATTACATACTGCAGCTTTAAACAACGAGCAGTCAATAAGAACTTTACACACAAACTTAGAGATGGATTTACGAATAGCTGCTGCAACCCAACATATAGAAGTCAGTCCTTCAGTAGTTTAAAATAACCACCATATTACAAGTTAAGATGTCCTCACGTGACAGCTGTGAAGAGTTTTATATAATATATGGAAACAACATTACAACCACGTACCAATCCTGTAGTAACAGGTTATCCCCTAAGATACAAATTGAGATAATATGTGAAGTTTACGAGGATTTAGAGAATAGTTAAAATATTTATGAGCCCCTTATGAGACAACTATATGCAAAAAAGGTTTCAGGCCTACATGTCTATAATACTGTGGGTGATAACTTGAGGCTTTTTCTTGCAACCAAACATCCAAAAATATCAGCTCTTCTTGTTTTTACGCAGCTTTTTCTACCATTTTTAATCAAAGGTGCCAACTCTTGCTAAATGACTTCAGTTAACTTTTCTGTTCAGAGTCAGATATGATGATTGATCAAAGCTTTAATGTAAAAGGTGCTCCTCTCTGTCCCAGCCTGCATTGTATAAACTTTCTTTCTGAGTGGACTGCAGGGTGAACCGCTTTCCCTCTCGGACAGTTTTGCTTGCTTGCATTTGTGTGTGTGAAGGTCCACCCTCAGGATCCAGGACCTATAAGTGCCGCAGCCACCGATGCATTCTCCCATTGATGCTCCTCTCTTCTCAATAAATGTGTTTACTGTGTTAATAAGCTGGCTTGGAGGGTTTAACTTGAAGAGTGTCGGGAAGTGTTTATTCCCAGAACGAAGGCCGTTCACGTTTATTATAGGTCACACGTCATCACTGCGTCGACGTGATAAACAACAGAATCCAACTCTGAGGAACAAATCCTTCATGTTCATTTGTGGTTGCTTTGATATTCTTTGTTTAGAAAGTTTGCTTTTTCTCTTAAAGTTGGTGACATTGGATTCATTTCCACTTTCTGCCTGTACACGCATGAGTTGTGTTGATCTCCGGAGCGTGAGCGCCACTCGCTGACCACCTTTTTTACACAGACTCTCCCTCACCTTTCTGCTTTTTACTGGGTTGTTAGAGGGCACTTTATCATGCCCTTTTACTCTACTTCACATTTGTATAGTTTCCCATCTCAGAGGTACTTGAACCATTGGACACTCACTGTTGCTATTGGGGATTTATTCAGATGCTCTTGTTTCACAGTTTAATGAAGCATCTCAAAAACGTATATTAAGGCCCATTCATGAGGTCAATGCATCATTAATAGGCCACTTCTAAATGCATTTTCACTCTTTACTATTAGTATGCATATGTTATCTAATGCAGGGACCCCTCTTCTATCTTTGTGTACCTGACAACCCCTGACGTGAATTTTATGGATATTTCGTATTATATTCAATGCAGAGATTAGTTTTCCTGAACTTTTTTTTAACAATCTTCTCTCGGTTTTGTATTTTTATTTTTATTTTTTATTTTTGACAACTTCAGTGTTTTTTTTCCCTGGTTAGTCATTGTTCTGTTAGTTCTTAGGGTTGTTTGAACTTGGACGAGGCTGTTTATCAGAGAGTACAAATGAATATTTCATTTAGTTTTCTTTTTTTTTTCATTTTCACAGAAATGATTAAAATGCTGAGATATAGGCCTACAGTGTATTATATGTATGTTTTTTTACACCCCTTAAAATCAATCATGACCCCCTGTGAAGCGTTGGCGCCCCGTAGTCGGGGTCCCTATCCCCAGGTTGGGAAACACTGATGTAACCTCTCATTAGCTGAGCAGGTAGGTGGAGGAGAAGCAGCAGTTTGGAGATATTTCAACCAACTTTTACAACATTTTATTACAATCAGAAAGCGAGGAACGTCTGATGAAAATAAAACATGTTTTTTAAGTCATCGTTAGAACTGTAACGGTATTATTAAATACTCATATCGCTTCTTGGTATCAGCAAGGACCCAAATTCCCAAAAAATCCTCTCTCTTTCTGCACTCATGTCCCATTAATGCATGTTACTAACTTCACTTCTTCCCCGGAGTTCTTGTGCTTTCTCGTCTCGCAG